ACAAATACTTGGCGCTTTGTTTCCTTTTCGAGCGGAGTATGGGTTTGCTGTGGTGGTACACGGAATCCAGGACAGACGGAAGGACGGAAGGAAACGTACGTACGCGCGGGAACCCTGTGTCGGTCCATGGAAAATCGACTCGGGAGCTCCACTATTAATCCAGATATAGCACAAATGTTTTGATTGTTAATGTTGTATCAGATTCACACTTGGATATGTTATTTCTCAATGTTGTTTCCTGCTGAAACACTTTACAACATTAGCAATAAAATTGCTAATAAAATGCATACACCAACAGAATGTTACTGATCGGACATTCTTTATCAAGACTATCCATTATAGATTATAATCAATGTTCCGTTAATTGTTGTTGTGCTGTTTTGGCCAATTATTAACATAACAGAACTAATTAAATGGAGTATTCATAAACTGTACTTACAGGATCTTCTTCAAGTGATTTGCGACAAAGAGCTAAAAAACAACAACACATATTATATCACATGCAAAATTAATGTTATTGTTGKTGGTCCACATACCTTCAGCTTGAGTCAGCTTACTCCTTGCTGTTTGATAATCATTATTTGCCAGTGACAAACAGGCAGCATTATAACACAACTCGTAGGTATCTTCTCGTAGCCCGCTCTCCGACTAATGAAATAAGCAAAGAAATTAATGCCTTTGACATACACTTATATTGTTGCCGACTGGCAGAAAACAACCTACTATGGACTGTTCAATGCTGTGCAAGAAGGAATGTCAAGGCAAATTTACACAATTGGACTGTTGTGTACAACTCAATAGAGCTCGTCTTGCTGTKTAAATGCCCCTACAACTGAAGCACAAGACTTCAGGACTGCAAGTTTGGCAATGACTTATATGAATGGTGACTACAATATTTTGTAGGCAAATTGTATACTACAGTCATGTAAATTAGACTTTACACAAATAATCAAAGATTTTGTAGGATGCCGTCAATGAAACTAATTTTACAATTCCTCTTCTGTTAATTAGAATATTAAATGGATTTACGGGTTTTATCAGATCAAAATGTAATTAGTCATACAACAGCTTTGACATGCCTGTCAACATTAGTTCTGAATGTAGTGATAAAACTGATTGAAGCAAAAATCATTACATAAAATAAACTGCTGTAACCTTGAGCTTGTGGTGTTTTGCAAAGAAATAAAAGTAAGGAAATAAAAACAAAAGATATTTTCCTACAAACAATTTTGTCTTTCCCCACTGGTTAGACGCAGCAATGACAGCTGATAAGTTTGTTTCTCTTTCATCTCCATAGTCATCCTATATAAAAGAATATATTGTCACAACATCTGATGGTGATAGTAAATACTAGTTAGTATGGAATGCGAATCAGGTTGCAAAGTAGTGTAGAACAGGTTAAATGGAATTTATTTTCTTGAGTGATGCACTTGTAAATTGATTTAGTCATTAATTTTATTTATAAGCTTTTGTTTGACATAATTTTCTAAACCAACTTGTTTTTGTTGCTTGTAAAATAGTTGAACAAAATGTGACAAATGAAAGTCTTGTTATACATTACAAACAGGTTATAGCATTAAAAGTGGTTTGTATGGGTTTTTATTCTCTCATTGCTTGTATCATAAACTCACTCCCTTGTTCCTCACTTGTTCATTGTACTGGACACATAGAGCAATAAAATGCCATATGTTAAATAAATAATTACATTTATATATCCAATCTTTTCTAACTGCCAAAATAATACCTCTGAATTCTTGATTAAATCCTTGTAAATGGATCTGCATTTTTCATACTCCCCAAGACGATAGTACTAAAAAATGCAATGTTTATGATGTCAATTATCAAGAAATACAATTTTTATATCAGTGTCTCTGATAAGCATAAAGGAACAAAGTTTAAAACATGAGGTTAAGGTTGTTAATTCTTTGCTTCCAAGTGCTTTTGCAATCCCAATATGTTTACATCAGAGGACAGAGAGATCAGAGATACTGAGACATTCTAGTCTTTCATAAAGCATGTATATTTCTGTAAAATACCAAATGATGAGAAGTTGATCATATTTAACATGATTGTCAGCCAATCAAAGAAAGCATCTTTATAGACATGCTGAAAAATTACTCATCATTGAAGATGTCATGATGCAAGAGAATGAACAGACAGGTCTGCTTTGTTTCCTGAAAACAAGACTACTAGATATGAGAATCTAAAATACGAACAGCTGTAATAAGTGCTAGAATGTTAATTTTGACAAACAAAACATCTGAATAGACTACAATCCTTGACAAAATCCTTGGACCATTCCWGCGAATTTCCTCATTTTAAGCAACACCCGCACACAATTTCATCCCCCCTGATYCCCTAAATGCAATGTTGTCACTGATCATGTTACCATAGTACACAAGCATCCAAAACAAGACCCAACATTGATGAAATGGGGCTAAGGGGGAAAACTGTGAAAAAATAAAGGAGAAAAATGTTAGGCTGGAGACAAATAATTGCACGGTCCAAGGTATTTTGGCAACGATTGTAGCTTGATTAGATTGTTCATTTACAACAAGATATATCTTCAGTGATTTCATCCAATTGTTATCAACGTTGTACATCGAATTGCAAAGCTTATGTTTTTTAAATGAATGAAGTTGTCCTTCAGCAGCATGTTTGAGAAGATGAAAAGGGTTTGATTGAGGCCTTGTTGCTGTAAATTATTAGTGAAAAAAGGTCTGAGCTTTCACAGTCTACGGCTACAGAAATGTTATTAAAAAAAATGTTACTTACAGTGGTTCTTGAGAATGTATATTTCAGATACAACTCCAACATCTACCTACAAACAAAGGGCCTCCCGATGGGTTCTAGCGTCTCGGGAATACTGGCGATACTCTTTATGGACAAACTCAAAAGAATCGCACTTGCATCATCCGCCCACATTAGCCACTACAGCAGATACATGTACGTAGATGACATCCATCTACAAACTACCAATGAAGAATGTGCCCGGAATTTCTTAGCTGATATGAACAACCTACATGACTGCATTAATTTCAAAGTGGAGAAACCAACCCTAACTGCATAAGGATACTCGCTGTCCCTGCTTGACTTCAACGTAGTCATCAACAACAACAGCACATGCTCCTTCGATTTCTACAATAAAAAGGCCAAGAAGCCCCTGTTTGTAAACTACAAGTCAGACCTCCCTAGTGCTACTAAGATCCCCTACAAGAAAGTCAACRCGCCAAAAGCAATTTGACACCATCCTGGCTAAGAATGRTTACCCAMATCAACTGATTGAGCGCACCACGATCAACACCACAACTAAATCTGCCCTTCATACTATGCCACAACCGACAAACATCAATTGGCTTTACCTCACCACACCTTACATATCAGACAGCATTGATTTTAAGATCAAAAACATTTTCAAGCAGGAGGGTTTTAACGTACGAGTTGTACACAGATCACAATCTATACGTAGAGCCCTATGCAAACTCAAGGGATGCATAATCGCCTCTACCAACCTCTGCTTCAAGAAGGGTGTTATATACAAAATAACATGTCCCAAATGTCAAGGTTTCTACATCGGTAGTATAATACGATGCCTCCACAACCACATCAAAGAACACACAACGAACCAGAAATCATCCATCTTTAAGCATCTAGGAACATGCATGTCCAAGAAAAATGAGTTAAAAGTCTCCATAATCAATCATGAAAAAGACCCGTCAACCTAAGATTATTAGAAGCTTTTTACATAAAAAAAAACAAAGACCATYTCTCAATTCCCGTGAGGAATCCAGTGAAATGGACAACCTTTTGTTCTAAACGCTCTTTTAATCACTTTAATAACATTTCTTTAGTCAGTCTCTGATGAAGCCGTAGATGGCGAAAGCTCAGACCTTTTTTCACTAATAATTTACAGCAACAAGGCCTCAATCAAACCCTTTTCATCTGCTCATGTTTTTGTTTACATATTGCAACTTTAGTCTTAGTACAGTGTACAATGAATCTTTGTTTTATTTTCAAAAACAAGTGTGTTATTCTCACCACTTGAGCAGTAAGCTCCTTTTCCCGCTGTCCTTGGTCAGGAATATCCTTTAGAACTTCTAGTGCTTCACTTGTTTTATTCAATCTGTACAGACAATATGCTTTCTCAAATGGCAGCTCCTTTATCCTGAAATGAAAGCAATAAATTAATTACAAATTAAATGTTTTCTTGAATTGTGCATTACCATTAAACATTAAATTTCTGCATGAGTATACATCAAAATTTCATAGCTTTTTCAGAAATTGAAAATTTCCCTGACATATTTTTAAAAATAGCCCACTGTGAATGGGTCAAGATATCCAAAAACAGATCCATTTGTAAGTGTGTTTCCAAATTTATTGGTTAAAAATCACAACTTTGTCTCAGTGTCAATTTATCATTCAGTGATTTTAATCAAATGCATGTATTCAGAAAGTTTTTGCCCACTGTCAGGAGGTATTTTTATTGTATTTTTTTATTTATTTAATTTGTTTTTTGTTTTTTTTTTTTCGCAAACGGACATTTTGACTTCCACTATTTACCCAGCAGCGGGGCATGTATGTAGACACTTCGAACTTTATGTTGCCTTTGTATTTACATGTAACTTAAGCTGAAGCTTTTCCTTTTATAAATTTCAATGTCTCTCTGAACTAATAAGCTTATATTTTTATCAATAAAGCTTAACCAGCTTAACAGTGATTGGACGAAAAGCACTGGAATAATTCTGAAAAGCTGCAAATCAAGAGCATGAAGAATARTCAATGAACAATGTGGATTTCATACTTCAACAAAGGAGCTCAAAACAAAGTTATGAWATACCAATTCACTTGTTCTTTCAATACATGAAGGCATTAGCTACTCACATTTTGCACTAACAACTTATCATGTTAGTTAATACTATTTTTTAATCCAATTTAAATGTTAAATTGCATTTTTTTTCCAATATTGTTCTGATCTTATTTTTATGATTTTTTTATGATCACCTATTTACATGTTAATAAATAACTTATCTAATTTGTTAATATAATGCTCAAAATACATCTGACCATCTTGSAAAAGCAGCTCTCACAATCTCTGCGTTATCTTGCCCATAGTTAATCGAGGGGTCAGCTTTGGGCTAGACTATAGAATACCTGTCCACACGAACAGAGTCTTATAATCACTGCTCCTGCAGTCCGTAGTCACACAGTGCCTGCATTGAATTGTGGTCCTGTTGTCAATTTGTACAATCAAACAAGCATGACGGCAGGTGTTCGCAATCGGCTTATTATTTTGGTGATCCTGCAGTCACGTAGTCACACAGTGCTACACAGGAACCCATTAAAAATAAATATACCATTCAATATACCTTTTATTATTCCTGATAAAAATAGCATTCATATTAACATTATATTTGCACGCTCGCAAACCATGCAGTCGTTAGCACTTTCATTACGAATAACAATTAGTGTATACAAACKTTTATCAAAACACATACCTTTTGCATAATTCGCCTATTACATACAATCGTTTTATTTACAATAAAATATCATTTCAAACTGCACTCACTGATTGCTTATTTACAGTAATATAAGTTCTTTACATTATTTAAAAAACAACAAAACAAATCCTCTCCTTTGTGCATGTATCTCCACATGAATTCTCCGAGGTGCGAAGAAAACAGAGCCTTTTTTACTCCAAAGGAAGGCAGTTTTGCCTTCATTTGCCTCCAATGGCCCTCGATCTTGTTCGCGTGTTCTCCTGCTTCATTTACAAACTCTTTTGAGTGGTTTACTGTACTATGCTTATAGCAATGTTTTTCTAAATTAATATAGGCTTTCCAACAGTCTGAAATAATCAGTGTTCCTGTCTCTATCCATTTCTTAATGATTGCTAACAAAGTCTATTCGTCTCTTTTTTCAACTGCAACCACAAAGCACTTTCTACTTTCATTCTCGATGCCACCAAACACCCACTGTCCTTCTACTCTATGTCCTTGATGTTACTTTCCGGCTTCCCAAATTTACTTTCGTCAATTTGAACTACTTCGGTTCTCGAGTGTTACTTCGCATGTCTCACGACAAAACATGTCCCAGTCTACAGCTGCGTTGCTTGAAATTCCAAGTTCATGTCTAATCTGTGCTTGGTCCAGATCTTGACACCACCAATACGTAAATTTCAAAATTTCTTCAAGCGTCATGTTACTTTTATCGAACCAACTTCCTTTGTGTATTGATTTCTCGACTTTGTGTCTTTTTCCTTCAAATTGTTTTCTACACTCCCACTTGTAACCATCAGATCTGTCTTCACAWTTCAATAACTTCATTTCCAATCCGCATAAGTTGCATATTTGCGACTGGGCGATCATGCCTTCCTTCATTAGCCACTAAATCAATAACTCCTTGTCTTCATATCTCCAGTGTTTGTTGCCTATGTTAAGTCCATAGCTTCCACTTAAACAATAACGTTCAAAAATTTTCTCTCCTGATTCTCATGATGTATGCGCTCTCTAAGCTCAACCGACATCACTGCGGGACTGTGGGACCACTCAATTATGATGCTTTCTCGTTCTTAAGAGTTCACTAGCAAACTATCACCCATGATGCCTTTCGATTACTGCTGGAATGCGTGACTGCGGGTGCACTCAATTATGATGCTTTCACGTTCTTAAGGTACTTGTTCTGGATAAACGTTCAAAAAAATACCCAACTTTTTTAGCATTAATCAGATTCTTTTAGGTACACATAATAACTAAGGAATGTTTTTAATCATCAAAATGTTGTTTTTTCATGAGAAAAACGACCCAGAACTTCGTATCCAGGCATGAATTTGCGGGAAAATATGATGCTCTGTTTGTGAAACACGAGATAACGGCTTCTCAGCTTGATCATTTTAGAGGTCAAAGTACCAGCGTTCAGTACCTGGAACACGCGAGTATTTGGTTACAAGATTGCTTTTTGCTGCTCTGAATTCTCCAGTTTCGAATACAGTGGACATTTTCCATACAATGTAGCTAGAAGTTTTCATTAGAATCAAAATAATGAGTATTTTAAATGATTTAGTGGTCATCTTAAATCGCAAAACATACAAGCTTGTGTTACATGAAACTCATGCTCAGTTGAGTATTGCTATGGATTACATCATTTATTTGTCCGGATTTTCCCGGGAAGCCAGGAACGATTTGATTCTGATGAATTTTTGGCGTTTTCGACTAGTATTCGTCCTCAAATCAATACAAAGTCGTCAACTGTTTTGAAATACAACACGAGGAACAAAATGATCGCCATTGCTGAAGACGTGTGCGACTTCTCTCAGTTTAAACTAGGTTTAAACACCCCACATCGACAACAGCAAGCACGCGTCCTTGAATAACTTGAGTTGTATTTAAGACTTTAAAAAGATATTTGGAACAGAGCTAACACATGTTGTACTTTGAGAATTAGCCAGCCCGGAGTTCATCGTCATATGGTTTGTCTTCCATGGCCTTCCAAAGACGAAACATCGATTTCGCCAAAATGATACAATTTTTTTCTCCGGGCTGGCTAATTTTTAATGCTTATATTAAATGGTATATTACTGCTGAGTTTCAAGTTTATTGCGTTTTTTACAGTCATGATATCGCGATTTTTCACTAAAAGTTGGCTTGGGTTTCCTGCGTATTTTCACACTTGACACCCCTGAAGCAACATATTTCGAAAGAAATTTCATAGACATTGGATCCATCACACAATTATTTCGACAAACGACTTTGGTTTTTTGAAAATAATTTTAAAATGACCCCCACTTTATCCAGAACAAGTACCTTAAGAGTTCACTAGTAAACTATCGCCCATGGTGCTTTGCGATCACTGCAGGATTGCTTGACTGCTGGAGCACTCAATTATGATGCTTTCTCGTTYTTAAGTGTTCACTAGCAAACTATCGACCATGATGCTTTTCGAAATATCGACCATTATGCTTTGCGATCACTGCGGGACTATGGGAACAGTCATTTTCCTTATGCTTGGAAAATGGTAGTCTCCTCTCGCAACGTCCTAACGGCTGCGAGAGGAGACTAGGAAAATGGATGGGTATTCTAATAATCGCTCCCAGCTTTGTTAGCCAATACCTAGTAAATTATCTTTCAACATTCAAAAAAAWCATCAACAACAGTTGTTTCTTTCTTACCCTTTCTTGGATCCTGAGTTAACAACATCGAGAGCTTCACGAAAACATGATTGCTGAACAAGACAGACTACTTTACAATGGAACGCATCGGCATCTTTTGGATTCTCTTGCAAAACTAAGGAACAATGATAAAATGTTACATCGTATATAAGTCAGATAAACTATAGATAGCTTTATTACTTTTATTTGCTATCTTCTGTGCTTTGGAAAAGTTCCCTTCCTTGCCTAATCGCTGTAATTCTGTAAACAGCTGTGGGACTGAAGGTGACGTGGCCGCCATCTTGAACGAATGAGCCAGCAAACCGAGGAGTCAGCTGAATGAAGCGCAGGAATCCCGTCTGGTTTAAAAGTTAAATATTAACTGGGGAATCCCCTGTATGTTACAAAAAAAGGAAAAGGTTCTAAGAAATCGATTAGACTGCTCTTTGTTGTCGTACTATTCCTCGTGGTAGTGGATCACTTTCCTTGTTAAGCAAAAAATGGCGTCAAGACAAGGGAATCGAGAACCTCGTCGCATTTTGAAGCCTGATTTGTTTATGGCTGTAGCTTTTTGGATGGAGCAATCGCCACTAGCGGAACGTCCAAGCGACTTCATTAAGCATTCTTCCTCGCCAAGTAAGGCTAAACAAATTCACTGCGACTGACAAAATTATCCTTTCAGGATGGATACAAAACGAAGACCTTTTACAAAGGCAGTCGGGGTTTTGGCGTTTTGCAGTCACTTGCTGTGCCTACTAGGAAGAGACTGCTGTACATGGCATTTAATGTTGACTCAAGTATAGAAATTCCTTTTTGTCAATATATCTCTATCCTGGATTTTGTCAAATGCCTCGTTATACATGTAAAATGTATGTATGTAAAATCGCGCTGAGACACGACGCAGTTTGGGGTTGTGATAAACAAGTTGAGTCATGAAACGGAAAAATCCCCCTGCACTCAATGACATAATGAATATGAATTACCAAAGAAAATAATGTATGAGTCAATTCCAAAGGTGCCCATTCCCCCCTCCCCCCCCCCGGGCGAAACCCCATAAGCCAGTTTTTTTACGCTAGTTTTCGAGTGTTTTTGTCGCTTTTTGTATCGTGATTTCTCATCGTGAAAGTACAAAAGATCGAGAATGTTCCCAAAAATGATTGTAAGCCTCGTGGCTGCTAATAGCGATCCGTGATCATGTGAAGCGCCTTTGAACTGTAAGGATATCGGCGCTACATAAATAATACGTATTATTATTATTAAAATGCTTAGGTTCCCGAGATATTTTTATTTTTAACTTAAGCTTAAAAGTTCGTATTGTGTCACGAAATAGCGGTTTCGCATCTGAATCGATAATTTCCAAGATGGTCGCCTACCCGTCAAATGCCCGCCCGTCTGCTCCTAATCAGAGTCAAATTCCCCACTGTACGGAGGTAGAGTCGAGTCAAATGCCCGTGGTTTGCCCGGGGGGGGGGGGGATGGGCACCTTTGGATCGAATTGACTCATACATAACCTCAAAGAGGAAACACGATCATCGCGCCGTTATTAACGCACGCTGCACGTTGATGATAACATTTCAAAGGGTGTCAGATYTGAGTTCACGACTGAAAGAGGCTGAAAAAAGCACAAATATATATAGGCCCGGCGGTCATTAGAAAAGCAAAAAGCTTTACAGCTGTAAAAAGATGTATCGGATTTTGCTCTCCGAAACCCTGGTACTCTTCAACAGAAGCTTTTACTTCAATAGCCTTCATAAGAATATATGTCACGGTCCATGAAAAGAGACGGGTATCTAAGAGCTCTCTACTTCCCCCCTCCAATCCATGACGATGACAAATGTGTTGAAGGTGTCAGGTGGTGGTGATTCTGGCGTTTATATGTAATTCTTTAATTTGAAACTTGGTTATTGTCATACACAATTCATTGGCCTATGGCGCGTACAGTAGCTCCTCTAAGATGTATAGCATCCCTAAGACAAAAAAAGAAAATTATATTGGRATATTTATATAATGGAAGGGAGAAGAAAAATTGATTGTCATTTGTTGTACACTTGCTTACACCAAACGCGGAAAGGGGAAAACCGCAAAAATGAAAGCTTGATCTAAAAAAACGATAAAACCCCTTTATTTGCTAGCTTTACGATGAATCTTTCAAAACGTTTTGTTTTTGTTTTTTTTTAAACAGAAACTTGTTTTGAATTATGATTTTGATTTCAGGCATAAACAGTTCAGGTGCAGTTATGGTTTTGCCCAATGACCGAGCTTTGTCTGTTGATTCCAGCCATGGTGGTGTTCATTCTGCAGTGCATGCAATCAATAAGTTTGGTCAAGAGAGAGTTAAGGGATGTAATGTATATGTGTCTAGACGGCCCTGTTCGTCCTGTGCCAAGTTGTTAGTTCAGTGTGAAGTGGCCAAGGTGTTCTACTTGCCGATAGAACCAGAACTGGATGATGAAGAGGATGCTGCTAGAGTTGATGCAATGTTCTTGGTAAGGTGAACTATTATTTTGGTTTCAAAAACTCATACATAATTAATGAGTTATTAGGCCAAAAGAATGAGCCTATTTGGTCACATGCATGGACCTTTATATCTGATAAAACACTCCTTATTAGTATTCTTTATCAGAAGTACATAACCAGACTGATTATGTACTTCTGTCTTTATATAAAGAATACTAATAAGGGTGACTTTATCACATATAAAGGTCCACGACCCTAGCAAAGGTCTCAGGTTTGAAACCTGATCATTGAAATGCAGGATGTCAACCGATTGCAGTGAGCAGCCAAGAGCCCTTCTATTTTACTTTATGCGTATTCAATGTGGGATGACAAGAATGCTTTGTAAAATGATTCGCGCATGATCAGTTTGCCCTATTTATCTCAGAACATATTTGTACGGCAATTTCTCCAAGAACTTTAACGGTTTGAGTTTCAAATTAGTGTTGGAGTTTTTGAAGCCGTTTAAAACACTCGAGATCGTGTTTTAAACTATACTTAAAACTGTAAAAATAGATGCGTTATAACAGATGTAGCATGTGATGATTGCTATTTACTGTTATAATGTTTGAGGGTTTTTTGAATGTCGCACCATGTACGAGTTGTTTTTGGTCATTATACACATGTGCATCCGTAAGGCCGGTTCACACTGACGATTTTCGCTTCGGTTTTCAGGCGATGTTCAAAACTTTAATAGATCGGCGATTTTGTAATCCTCGTGAAGAGACATTTTAGTTAGCTTATAGTAAAAGGCGGGGATGATGATGCTCTGGTCGCAACCTCTTAAAATTAGAGATTGTTAGTTTCTCATCAGTGCGTCATTCTTTGGTTACTTTGACAGTTGTATCTCATACTTTACTGCGGTTTTCCGTTTTCTGCGAACTCTAGCACTGCGAACGTTAACGGTCATTTGCTGTTTTTGCTCCCGTCAATCAAAATTCCGAAGTAAACGAACTGCTTTCGTGACTCCTCCCACAAGTCCGAAAGTCCGCCATGTTGTTTGTTTCTTGCCTCGTGAGTTTAGCTCTGATCTTCGATGGAGAATTGTTTTCATGCATTCATCGGCCACATTCCCCCAAAAACTTCTTCCAAGTACTGCCTGTTGGATAGACATTTGTGCACAAAATCTTGAAGATATAGGGAAATTGGAGATGTTCGAGATGGCGGACTTTCGGACTTGGTTCGGTTTTGTGGGAGGAGTCACGAACGCAGTTCGTTTACTTCGRAAAATGACCGTTTAAGTTCCCAGAGCTAAAGTTCGCAGAAAACGGAAAACCGCAGTAAAGATGACAGCCACAGGCAATAGACTTCATATCGGTGTTCAATCTCATTCAATCTTGTTTAATTTCTAGTTCAATCTCATTCAATCTTGTTCAATTTCTAGTCATCAAAGTCCGGTTTATCGATCAAGATTCCCAAGATTGACGATATGATCTTCCAAGACCGCAGAGAATCTCCTTACCGTGAAAACACGGCCTCTCTGAGTGAAGATGCAAGGCAGTTTGTAAGTGATCTTCTGACTAAATACTGGAATGAAGAATGGATAAACAAAGCACAACGAGCGCTTAGGTGGCAAGCATTTGATGGTCTTAAGGACCAGATTAAAGAGGATATCCAGAATTTCTTCAAATGGATCGCTCACACAACAGTAGTAGATGTTCCTGGAGGTATTTGCTTTGAGGCCGTTAAGAAAACGCAGACCGGCGTTGATTATCACGTGAGTAGGCCTACTGAAAGCCCGCCTAAAACACAACATTCACCAATTCAAGAAGGGATATCACCTTCGCAGGACAACAAGCATACAGGTGCGCCTGCCCCTGACAGTGATCAATGGCAGYTAGTTGCACTTCATACAAGTCGATTGGCTCAAATGTTGTCCCAACGGAGCGATGATCCTACCAGAGGGGTGGGATGCGTTTTAATGATTCGCAGTCGTGAAATTGTGGCGATTGGATGGAATGGTTTTCCTGCAAAGGCTTTGTATGGCGAGTTCCCAAGAGCTTCTGAGAGTGATGAAGCACGACTTAAGAAAGAACCGTACGTAATCCATGCTGAGCAAAACGCCTTGCTTACAAGGAACAAGCGAAACTTGAAGGGCAAGTGGCCAGTCCTGTTCATCAATGAAGTGCCCTGTGGCCAATGTCTTCCATTACTAAAGCAATCTGGAGTCAACACTTTCGTAATTCCAAAAATTAATGCTAATCCTGGAGCCAGCCAGGGACAGCTCAGATTAGTGCTTGAAAAGAATTTTGATTGCTTTGGGTACAAGCATACAAGGAGAAATAGGGAGGTAGAAAAAGTTAGTAAACAACTAGAATTCTAAAACTTTTCAGTGTAGTTATGAATGCCTTTTTAAAGGTGAAAACAATGCATTAAAATGATTTTAATACAAGGTCGGAAACTGCACGCAAAGATTTCCAACAGTAACTCTACTTGCACTCGATTTTTTTGTCAAAATCCATACTTTTGTCCACATTTAACTGCTCCACAATAAACATGAATGTCCAAGGATTCTTTTGAAGCTCTTCGTCAATGAATTTCTTTTCGGGAAGTTATTTTTATCGGCCGTTGAATTCTAATATTCGGACTAAAGTAATGCTGACTATAACTAATTTGGTCCGGAGGTACAGTGGTCCCAAAAGAAGAGAGTATTCTCAAATTGGATTGGCTGATTTCTAACAAAAGGCAATAAACACTTTACATGTAAATCTACGGGGGACATTGCTCAACAATTGCGAGACGAGGCGGGGGAGGGTACAATCGAAAGCAACCAATTCTTCGTTTGCAGGTTGCGTCACAGCGGCCATCTTGGAGGAACTTTAAAGTGCTACTTAGACGAAAATTGCGAAACATTAGAAAGGACTTGGAAATCAAACAGATCTATCCATATGAGTCTGATAATCATTAAGCAACAGATTTCAAGAAGAATTTGATACAAACCTTAATAAATTGGGCAAAAAATGTTGGAGTAGATGACGTCATTTACTCTATCCTTTTGTTCTTGCATCTTTTGAATCGAAATTTCTCTGATGTGGGATAATGCCAAAACAAATATTTTCCCGCAATTGTTTTAATAGATATAAATGAGTTATATATTTGCCTGTGGATTGGGGCTTTAGAATACCTCCAACGTAGCTCATGCGTGTCGTAAGAGGCGACTAAAATGGGTAAGGGAAGGAAAMMCCGACAGAAAACCCTTAACAGGGGGCCAGCAACCCGCTTGAAGTATAATCTTGCTACGGAATCTAACACAAAGAGATTTGAAGACACCTCTTCCGTTGGCGACCTCACTGCCTCAGAAGCCAGAACGATGACGACTGGTGGTGAAAGCTTGTCTCAAGAAGCCACTAGTCTGATCCGAGGGGGCAGACGGGAGAACTTAAAGATCATTAAAAGACCAATGCGACTTGGTCTATGGAACACCCGGACTCTTCACAAGACAGGAAACAAAAACTTCCTCGTGAGAGATATGGATGAATACAATATCGACGTGTGTGGCATCTGCGAGACCCATCTAACCGGTGCCAACACGGAGGTGATTGAAGGCTGGTTACTAGTTAACTCAGGTATGGAAGACACGCACAGAAAAGGCGTTGGATTACTACTCTCACCTAGAGCAAGAGCTAGCCTTATGTCTTACGAAGCTGCCAGTGAAAGAATATTAAAGGCGAGGCTATACACAAAACAGGTAAAGATCTCCATCATCGTAGCCTATGCTCCAACTGAAGATGCASAYGATGATGTCAAAGACGATTTCTACGAAATCTTGCAGAATATTACCGATGATATTCCAATACACGATCTTAAAGTAGTCATTGGTGACTTCAACGCCAAGGTCGGCAATGAGATTGGACCCTGGAAAAGAGTGTTGGGCCCCCACGGAATGGGTACTATGAATAACAACGGACTGCGTCTGGTTGAGTACTGCGCCGAAAACGATCTCATCGTTGGTGGATCTCTATTCCAGCACAAAACCATCCACAAGACTACCTGGACATCCCCTGATGGTAATACCCACAACCAGATCGACCATGTGTTGATAAATGGTAAATGGAGAAAATCCCTTCTGGACGTCCGAGCTTTTAGAGGTGCTGACATAGGGAGCGATCACGAGCTGGTCATCGCCAAAATTCAATTGAAGCTGGCTGCTCAAGGAAAGAAGCCAAAGAAACCTAGGCTTAAGGATGCAGAACTGCTCCTCCCCAGCATGGCAGAAAACTACCAATTAAAGATAACGAGTCGCTTTGATGCCCTGTCGGACTTAGTATCTGAACCAGATGTTGATCATGAGTGGGACAGGTTTCGAGAGTCAGTCTACACAGCAGCGGAGGAAACAGTAGGCCAGCAATCTGGTAAATTCAAATGCTGGATAAGTACCAACACGCGTGAATTCATTGAACAACGGAGAGACGCCAAGAAAGTAAGAGATCAGTTGCAGACGAATGAAAGTAAGAACCGGTATAGAGAACTGGACAGGAAAGTTAAAAACAGCGCTGAGAAAGATTGGAAGGACTGGATAGATACTCAAGCAAAAGAGCTTGAAGAAGCAGCAAGTAAGAAGAGTCAGAAGGAAGTCTACCAAAAGGTTAAAATACTGACAGGCAAAAAGTCCCGGAATACGTCAATGGTCAAAGACAAAGACGGTAAACTAATTGATAGCAAAGAAAAGAAAATGGAAAGATGGGCAGAACATTTCAAAGAACTTCTAAATGTCGAACCACCTGACATTGTATTGGAGGATATCATCCCCGAGTGGGATGAGCTAGACGAAATGGGTGTCGACCTAAGCCCTCCTACCAAAGAGGAAGTAATTCGGGCAGTTAAAAGGCTTAAAAACAACAAAGCGGCAGGATGTGATAAGATCACAGGAGAAATGCTTAAAGCTGGAGGAGACAAGTTGATTGACTGGTTGCTACGAATATGTATCGTCGTTTGGTCAACTGAAAAGGCTCCAAAAGACTGGAAGAAAGGGACCATTGTCAAAATCCCTAAAAAAGGCGACATCACGATCTGTGGCAATAACCGCGGTATCACACTTCTGAGCATAGCTGGGAAGGTATTCTGCATCTTGATTCTACTGAGAATAAGGGACGCAATGGATGAACGTCTTAGAGAAAACCAGGCTGGTTTTCGGAAAGGAAGATCCTGTCCTGACCAGTGCTTCGCTCTACGCCAGCTCATCGAAAAATGCCTTGAATTCCAGCTCCCAGTCAAGATAAACTTCATTGACTTCAAGGCAGCCTTTGACAGTGTACAGAGAGACTCGCTCTGGAAGATAGTAGAGTCCTATGGGCTCCCAAGGAAGATCATTAACATCATGAAGAATACCTACGATGGCTCAGAATGCTGCNGTAGGTTAAACAATGGCATATCAAAAATGGCATAAAACCTCTTAAAAACGAAAGATTTTCAACCAGGAAGGTAAGAGACGTTTTATTTATGTTAGAATAATATTATTTAGGCAAAAAAAAAATGTGCGAACGACATATTTTATACTAAGTTATTGAGCCTGGGTTACCTGTGCCTTTAGCAGCCGCCCATGTGTCGTCACGCAACGCTTCTCCATGGGGAGAAGCGTTGCGTGACGACACAGGGGCGGCTGCTGAAGGTGGCTAGAAACATTCCTACTTGAAAGCGATCTTCGAGCTAATAGCGCGTATTACACTTCGTGATTCAAAGGCCTTGTTTTAGTGGATATTTTCCTTCTCTGGTCGCAATCTGTCAATATGTTCAACCTATGTTTATGTACTTTGAGCTCCAAGAGTTTCAAGAAAAAATTCTATCCAATAGTCTCAAAAATCGCCTGTTTTGTGGTCTTGGTGTGACCTTTTCTGTCTAGAAATCTCATGCCGGGCAAAGTTGAAAGCGAACTCGTGATTGGCTGGTTTCTGTACCATAATCCTTTTCGGAGGAGTGTCCGGCCTCCTCTGGAGCGGAAATAGTATAGTTAACTATGTTGAAATACTCGAAAATGTGTTATCGGGACGTGACATGCATTAAGATTCTCACTCTCCAGTAATACTATGCTGCTATTTGTATAGAGATAGTATTAAGAAAAACCCAATGAGGCTTCACAATCAGTTTGGTTATTGTATCAGGACAGGATCACCTTACAGTAAGTTTCTTTTCGCTGCTTCAGAAAATTTTATTGTTTAATAATAAAAGCAATAAAGCAGGTTTTAAAATATCGCGCATTTTGCTGTGATAGTTGCCCTTGGAAACTAGATGTTACTCAAAACTTCATAGTCGTCCTTGAACGTTGTATTTCTCGAACAACAGGCAACTATGAATCATAATGGATTCTAATCAATCATTTTTCCATGATCAGTGTTAATTAAAAAAGATTATAGAGATACATACAATCTGCTCTTCTGATTGGTTTATTTTAGTCTATCCTTCATCGGAAGGCACTTCTGCTTCCGCCATGAAAAAAACCTCGTGATAGATAACGGAATAGCATTGAAGGTATTCTATATTGTCGTTGTGCTTATCAATCCCTTTTTGCTTCTATCAACTGAAAGATCAGTCATATTCATCTTAAAAACGTAGTCGCATTAGCCAGCTCTAGATCTGCACGACAAAATTCACCAGTATCCAAATTCTTAGCCATTAACTGATCCGGATCTAGATTTGGTGTCTTGTGATCCACAAAGATGCGTTTAAGACAACAATCCTAAATAACAACCAATATGAGAGTTAATGGCAGATGATAAAGGTTCGTTTGCTATTTTGCCAATTTTCACGAACAAATCTTCAAATCATTACAGTTTATAAATGATGATTATTAGGTTATTTTAAGGTTACCGTGGCCCTTCGTGGCGTCTGTTCGTTGGAAAATCATTGGCGCGTTGGATCTCGCGCTTTTGTAAAGTATWATATGTCATATGAAAGCTGAATTATCAGAGAATATGTCTATATAATTTTTATGACAATAGTCCTTATTCAGAACGCGTTTCAGCGCTCTGAACTAAACATAAGTACCCTTGTTTGCAAGAGTTCAGTGTCAACACGTTTGGCCTTATAGTCTAAAGTACTGTATAATATAAATCAACACATACCCATCTGTCAAACTGTGAGCGATTTTTAATATTTTACTTAGTTTAGAGTTAACCAACTTAATCACAGTTGAATCGAAGAATGCATTTTTTTTGTCGTTATTTGATATAAACCTTTATAAAACAAAAACCAAGACATAATTCATGAGTTGCGCGTGCTTCTGAGAAATTTTCATAACATTTTATCGTAATCGCAAGGAACTGGACTCTTTTAAACTTCGCTACCCCGCGAAAAACACGAAACGAGAAATGAAGCAATGAAGTGTGTAAACATCAAACCATCATCTTTCATCGCGGTCAAGAAAGGTCAACCAACTGGCCAACTAGAAACGCGGCTCACCTGGTGTGCCTGGAAATGTTCTTTATTTCGCGGCATATTTGATTTCGCGGGAAGCTTAGAATAGTTACATGTTACAAAATATSCCCCCAAAAAAGAAAGTTCAAAAACCAAAATCAACTTGAGAGAGAAAGCAGAAGACAACACAACGGAACAAGCCGACAGCACAAGCATCGGACTCGAAATGCTCAATGGGAGCCGTTGTTGTGGAAGGGTCTCCGACACCTACGTATCACAATCTCACAAACTCACAGGAATAAACAGTAGTTTTATTCCGAAACCAAACGACAACATTCCCTCCTCACTTCTCTCTCTGTCCTCGCTCCTCGTGTACATATCACGTGACCTCTAACTTATTAACATAATGCATAATTAAAAGTGACTCGTGACACTCTCCCCCTATTTGATCCTGAAGGGAACAAATACAACAAAATCTAAGGATTACATGTAATTTAACAACAATTGTTCTTCGCTTTTTGATTTATGTCTCTAAATGTTCAATAAGTGTTAATCAACGTTCCTAGTTCATAGTGTTCATAGTTACTCATCTTCTTGCGCTAACTCAGCGATTCTCTGCCTCGCTGCTTGTGCTGCTGCTCTTGGCTGGAATTCTCTAGCCACAGGGTTTAAAGGACCACACGACAACTCCAAGGGATATAAATGTTGAGGTGCTCGCTTCAGATATCCAGATAAGATTTACCAGCTCTGAGTTTCACAGCTCTCACAACACCGTCTCTTCCGTTAATGASATTCTCAACGATCCCAATGTTCCATTTACCTCTGTTACGTTCATCTCCTTTAATGAGAACTACATCTCCTACTGCCAGTTTGAGTTGCTTTGTCTTGTGACTAAGATCGTATCTCTCTCGTAGACTTTTTATGTACTCGTTAGACCATCTGTTCCAAGGACATCCTTACAACGACGGAGGTATCTCGCCCGTCTTCGAAGATCTGTGTCATCATCATCATCAGCGCCTTCTGATTCAGGTATAAGGTTTGATTTACCATACATCATCACGTTTGGGGTTAGTACTGGCAGCTGGACGTCGTCCTCCACATAGCTAATAAGTGGACGCTTGTTGATTGACACTTCTATGTCTAGCACGAGCTCTTCTAGTTCATTCCAATTCAGAAATCCTCGTCCAATGGACGTGTACAGTGCTAACTTCACGATACCCACCAACCTTTCAAATTGCCACCCCACCATGGGGCTCTACTCAGATTGAATTGCCACACAATTGATTGGTGTGCGAGATGGCTTCGTCCTTCATGATACTTCGTAGCCATTTTTCAGCTCCAACGAAGGTTGCTGCATTATCTGAGGAGATCTTTTCTGGTCTCCCTCTTCTGGCAATGAAACGTGTTAATGCGGTTATGAACTGTAGATGAACTGGTCGAGCAAGCCGAAGCAGATAAGTTTCAGTTGAATGAATCCAAGTGTAAAGAGTTACAAATACATTTCTCGAGAAACGCAAACACCCTGGAACCATAATAATAATAATAATACCATGATCACCTCGGATTCTTTTGTCTTCCGAGGGATGTTTACAAGCGAACAAGCCCTCCCTCATGAATAGCATGAGGGACGATTACTAGTAATCTTCCCTCATGCATAATAACATGAGGGACGATTACCAGTAATCGTCCCTCATGCATAATAACATGAGGGACGATTAGACTAATCGTCCCTCATGTTATTTATGAGGAACGGAAGGCAAAGGAAACCTTTGCTTCCCAGCAGGGACAACTGAATGTCCTTACAGCTGTCTTCTTTTTACCTCTGCAATGAACGGTCTGGTTATCGTCTCATTCACACTGAAATGTGGGATGATTTTTGGGACAAATTGACCGAGTAGCTCTGGTTCCGAGTATCTACTTCGTACCGCTGAGCATGTGCACTTGACGAATTTCAATGTTTGATAATAGTTGATAAGCTTCTTGGCATTATACTTGCAAATATAAAAACAACTTTTCGCGGTTGAAGTTAAGGTTCGTTAACTTCAGCATTGAATAGAACTGAAAAGCAATTTCAAACAAAGTTCGTTGTGGGAAATCAGTAACAATGGTCGGATTATCAATATCATTTTGTACTGTTGTTCGGCGAGTGATACTCTTAGAACAGTGCGTATCCTTTCTTTTCATGTCATATTCCAATTCATGCATGAATTGAAAACATTGGAGCATACAAAAAAACAAGAATTCAAATTCGCTCAAGTTCAACTTCAATTTTTTCCTCGGAAATCATGGTATTACAAAGTAATAGCATGGCTTCCTCGGGAGATTAGGGATTAAATGTCCCTCAGCCTCGGGCAGATAAGTAAAAGTCCCTCCGGCCTGCGGCCGTCGGGACTTCAACTTATCTGCCCTCGGCTTCGGGGACATTTAATCCCTAATCTCCCTCAGAGCCATGCTATTACTTATAATAATACA